GCCTCCGCTCGTGAAGGTCATTGCCGCGATGCAAGCGGGACAGGGGCATCCGCGGATGGAGGCAGCCCGTCACGCAGCTGGGGGAAGGCGCGGACAGGTGCGGTTTCTCTCCTCTCACCTGGGGGGGACGGAGTTTGCCCCCTCTCGCAGGTACCGAACAGGTGAGCTTGCTCGGTCTTTTTGCTGACCACCACGCGGTGGGCGCTCAGCCCTCCTGGGAGCCAAAACTGCCTGTCGCGGGCAAGCAGACTGCCGGCCCTTCTGGCTTCCCACGCAGCTGGGGGAAGGCGCGGACAGGTGCGGTTTCTCTCCTCTCACCTGGGGGGGACGGAGTTTGCCCCCTCTCGCAGGTACCGAACAGGTGAGCTTGCTCGGTCTTTTTGCTGACCACCACGCGGTGGGCGCTCAGCCCTCCTGGGAGCCAAAACTGCCTGTCGCGGGCAAGCAGACTGCCGGCCCTTCTGGCTTCCGAAACCTGTGGCTTGCTCCATCCGTCTCACCCTCGGAGTCTGAAAGCATGGAGAAACTCACGGCAGTGTACATGCTGCCTCCGAAAACGGGGCCAACAGGTGAGGCTGCTTTCATCCTTCCCAGGACGAAAGTCTGACTTTCCCTTGAAAGCCCTTTGTCGGTGCGAAATATTATTAAGCAGGCTTTTATCGTCCTCGTATCTGATGCCTTTGCTGGCTGCGAGCCATATGCTTACCCTACACTGTCTCTTGGCAGCACAGATCTAGAAAAAAACGTTCTCCTCTTTACCCCTCCTCCCAGTTCCTTGCTAACTAGCTGGTAATATTCAGTTACTTCAGGCTTTGGACATTTTGACTATGGATGCCTTGTCTGGCTCTGTCCTCAGGAAGGAGGTGAATACGATTTAAATGCCGCCTAATCCTTTTTCCTTTCTCCCTCATTAGCATTGAAGAAGGCTGTTGCAAAAGGAAGCATGTTTTTTCACTTATATGAAGATGGCTGTCACACAAGGAAGCGTATTTTTCTTTCATATTATACATAATTAGGGTACGGCAGCCAGATGAAAAATACTTTTCTGGAGAATATACCTTTTCTTTTGAAAAAATGAATCAATGTTTACCTTTGTAATAGTAAAATGCTTCTTGCTGAGATTCCTTTTTCAATTAATACAATGAGTTACTCATTCACAGGATTATTTGAATCATAATTGTGATTTATTCGTTCATGTGGTTAACTGTTGAGAAATCCTTTAAGAACAGCTTTTGGGAGGGATGCGAAAGCTCCCGAAGTCTATAAGAGAATACAGGGCATATCCACACTGCAATCACTGCTGTGATTGAGCTCATTCTGCGCTGGGTTTAAACGAGCAAGCTCCAAGCAGCACAGCAGAGACACCGTGGAGCTCTGCTACAGTTTGCAGGACAATTTTCCAGCCCACGCAGACATTTCAGGCTGCCACAGCTCTGGTCTTCGTGTTACCTGAGCGAGCAGCGTTGCAGGGAGCTCAGGTGCCTCCACGTGTGCTGCAGTCCCGCCTGGCCACATCTCCCAGCCCTGCCCGCCTCCTGCCCCAGTCCATCTCTGAGCAGGCTGCTACATACCGCCTGTGATTGCTCCTGAAAGCCCCTGAGAAGCCACTGCATTTCCCTCTGTGCACTGACGCTGCGCCTCAGACTCAGTATTAAACCCACAAGCCTTTGCGACGTGCAGCTCAACTCTTTTTAGCACGCAGCCTGTTCCCAAACTGGTCTGCACCACGCTGCCTGTGCAGCCACACCCCTCACTTCTATATTAAGAGGCGATGCCAGCTGCCACCGCTCAGCCTCCGTGCGGATCTTGCTGGGCCAGCATCTTGAGGTGGCACGTAATTTGCAAGGCTGGAGAAGAACGGCAAGGGACATCCAGAGACGTCAGGGAGGGGCGAGAGGCGAACCCCAAGCCGCGCTCCGGAAAGGCACATGGCAGGACCGTAACAATCCCTGCAGGGTTACTTGGCTGCTAGCTCTGATGCCAACACCACGAGAATGGTGCCGCCCAAAGGTGCCGTTCAGCTTCTCTTTGAGGCGGTGGCTGGGTTCGCATCTCCAAGCTCACTTATGGGACGTTGCTATGGTTCAAGAGTTAAGGATGACCACGTCCTCCCCCAGGCTATATCAGGCACTAATTCCAAGGTGCACAAACACCCCTTTGTAGACAGATGGGAAAAATTGTTGCTGAGCCTAGCACAGCAGGACACCTGCTTCTGGGCTCTCGTCCTACTCCAGAAGCTGGAGGGACATCATCTGGCAGAGCCTGGCCCTGACAGGCACCTGTCAGTCTGCTGCACAGCAGTTCAGCTTCAACAAACCGAACAGTTCCTTGGATGTCTTAGGCAACTCTGAATGCGGGTCAGCATTTTGGCCAGCGCTGCCACTCTCTGGGCTCCCTTCAGCTCCCGTTCACTGGATTTGGTGTGCTCAGCACTGCCCCTGCCACAAAATTATGGGTATGTAGCATTTTCTCAGGAACATCAAACTCAGAGACCCTCAAGGTAAGGACTCCAAAACTAAGATACCCCAAGTGGCTACCTAGATTTTCACCTAGCTTATGCAAAACTCCTTATCCGCTTCCTGCCTTGCTGGATTTCCCAGTCACTCCATCTTCTCCTGAACTTTCCAATTCTCTCCTCCATGGCTCCTGCGCTACCACTATCTCCTGCTTCCCACATTCAGGTACTTTTTCCAGTTATGGAGCATCTCCTCCCCGCAACCTTGCTAGTTTCTTCATTTACTTGTAGGCCTGTGGCCCTCAGTATTAAAGTCAGTATGGTTTTTATATCCTTTTTGCAAAAATCCTGTTGGGACTGGAACCTACCCAGTAAGAAAAACAATCCTTCATACCTTCAGTAACTTTAGTGAACTATGGACCTCCGAAGTCACACATCAACACCTTAACACGTAGCCTAGGAGGTACAACATAACCTCCTACAGGCTTGTGGCCCTGAGGTAGAATTCATCTCCCAGGAGCCAAAATATTCCACACGTAGAACAACTCCCAACCGTCTAAAAAAAGCAATAGCCAGGGAAATTAAAAAAGTGTAATGGCTGGCAGAGCATCCACGTTTGAAATGGTCATTTACATTTATGCACAGTACCAGTTACAGCCACCTTCATACCTCCCTACTTACTCAGAGTCATGAATCTATAAATGAGAGTGCTAACAGGAGAGGGAAGCAGAATTTGCTTATGCCCTGAAGCTGTTAGCCACACCACTCAAACAGAAGTTCTCCTGTTTTGTTCTCTCACCAGAAACCAGGAAAGAACCTATCTATTTATTAACATCCTATTAGCCAAATGATATGATATCAAATGTTAGTGGCCAAATTATTTAGTGCCTTCAGCCTCTTTATCCTAGCCCAAGTGAAGGCGTAGGTCTGAAACATTACTCCCTTCATCTGGCAGAATGCTAGACACACTTAGGCTAAGAAAGAGAAGTGACTTCACTGAACACGGGAAATGAAACATTGGCTTTTGTGTTCACATTAAAGTGTAAGAGGGAAGAAAATATACAAAAAATTCTCAATTTGTGTAACTACAGATCTCAAAGCATCAAATGGCAACAGGGTGAGTAGAGTTCCAGCATCTAACAATGCCCATGTATCCGTCACGCTGCAGTTTCCACCATTACCACAGTGGGTGGTGATAAGACTTCCCAGTTTTCGCATGGTAGAAGCAACCCTGATTATTCTGTGATGGGAAAGCATCCCTCCCAGTTCTCTGAGCTGCTGTCTCCTTTCCTCCTTCCATAGAAAGTTCCCTCCTTTCCCCATTAGTTACCCATTTGAAGAAAAGCCAGCAAACTCGGTGGAGGTGTTCTTAGAGAGATGAAACATCAGCCGCAGCACAATGAATTCCCATGTGCGTGCACACACGCGTGTGTTCACACATACACACTTGAGCGAACTGTCTCCCTGTGCCATTAAGATTGCAGTTGTAATTTCACAATAAAGCAGTGTATAGTTTCCAGTGCTTCCACATTTACAAAATACTACACAGGCTGTCTCTACACTGTGCTTTGAACAGGATGCTTGTGCCACCGTTAACTGATGAAGGAAGGATTACACTTCCATGATAAGCTGAAGATGACAGTCTCTTTCGCTGTATCACCCAGGACTATTCCTGGAGCACTATCTTTTCTGTGCGTTGAATGAGGACAGGTTCTTGTACTGGCAAAAATATACCACTCTGTGACTAAAAATTGTGTCACAATACTGGAATAAAGAGAGAAGGGGAGGGAAAAGCAGGTTGTACCAGAAATTTTCATGCAAGCATTTCCTAGCTTTCAAGTACTCACCTCTGTAAACCTAAAACGCCTTTAATGCTGTGTTTGTCTTGGGCTTTCAAAAAACTAAAACTGAAATTAAATTACCCAAAATTTTATCCTACAGATGAGTAACTTTTAAACTTCTTTAAAACATCTATTTCTAAATCCTGTATGCATTTTCCATGTAAACCTGTTTTTCTTTCTCAGATGTCTTTCATAGGGACACCCCTTAGAAGTACTCTGGGGACTCCAGCACTCTATTTATTATGGGATGAAAAACATGCTGGCCTGCCAGATGGCCACAATTTCTAGGCTCGCAACACAACCCTATGCTGTGTGAGCAAATGAATGTGTGGGACAGAAGATACCAACAGTGTGCAGACCTTTCACCAGAAAAAGATGGACAGCTTATAATTACTGAGGCATATGAACACTATGTCCAACTTCAGG